TCTATCGAGACAGAGAGAGAGAGAGAGAGAGAGAGAGAGTTGGGAGATTCAGTAGTTTATTTCAGAAACTCTCTGTGTTTTCTCCCTTCTCCTCAGGGTACCCGTTCATGCCCCCCTACTGGGCCCTAGGATTTCACCTCTGTCGCTGGGGTTACACTTCCACTGCTGTCACTCGGGAGGTAGTGAAGAACATGACGGCAGCACACTTCCCCTTGGTAGGTGAATCCCCTGAGCCCCGTCCAGGACAGAGGGTCCCTTTGACGCAGCACAGCTGCTGGGCCTCTGTGGTAGCTGAACAAGAAGGGAACAGGCTGTCCTCAATGGGGAAGAATAGTATATCATGGAAGGAAGAGAGTGGCCAGTACCTAATGTCCATTCCTGGACTTCACAGGATGTGCAGTGGAATGACCTAGATTATGCAGATGCAAAGAGAGACTTCACTTTCAACCAGGATGGTTTCTCAGATATGCCGCAAATGGTGAACGATTTCCATCGTCAGGGTCGGAGGTACGTCATGATTGTGGTAAGTACACAAAGCCTGGATTTTCAGCTGGTGAATCACCACCATTCAGTGGCTAAATTCATCTTGATCCTTCAAGGAGCTGTCCCCTGTTCCCCTTGGAGACCTAGCGAAGAGCATGTTAAATCAAAATAAGTTTCCCTTTCCCCTTCCTACGTGAGAGCCAAGATTAGAAAGAGCTGACATTACAGTCTGTCAGGTAGACTCCCTCTGAGGTTCAGATCATGTGATAAGTAGCATAAGAATGGAACTGTTTCAGAAGGAGAAGTTTACTAGGCTGTTTGTGTTTCCGTGTCCCACCTGATCAGTCTTGTCTTAATAAAGGTGTCTCTTTTTAGGATCCAGGTATCAGCAGTTCCGGCCCTTCTGGCAGTTATAAGCCTTATGATGAAGGCCTAAAGTGAGGGGTCTTCATCTTAAATGCAACAGGACAGCCTCTGATTGGGAAGGTGAGTCATGGGCTAGAGCTGTGGGCGCTGGCAGGCCAAAGAGGTCCACTGTACTCTTGAGCAGGGGGTTCAGCTAAAGCCCAGTCGGGTGTCTTAGGGGAATGGAGCACCCAGAGGCAGGCCATATTCTAGGGAGGCCTGGCTGAGGAATAGTGACCAAGCTCTGCCTTCCAGGTTACTCTTTAGTGGGGCAGGATAAGGCGGAGGGGAGGGAAAGCAAAGCAACAGCCGCTTGTAGCCGTTTTGTCTCTCACTTGTAAGGGGCTTAATTCAGTCTTCTGTTTTGAAAATGGTTACGATCCTCCTGAAGTTCAGCTTTGTAACCTTGGACTGATGCTTTAATCTATGCTGGCCCTTGATGCCCCGACAGCGGCACTGGCAACACATCCATGTGTTGGGCCAGCTTTGACCTGTCTTGAGTTAGACTGATTTGGAAGCAGATTTGAAGAGCACCCAGAAGCTTCTGTTGGGGTTAAATGTAGCACCTTAGCAGCAAGCCCGGATCATACTGTTTCAATATAGAAAAATTTGATTGCCATAGAGTTAATCAAAGCTGTTGGTTATGACCTTTAAAGTGCAAAGGACTTAATGCCTGGCGATCTAAAGAGCGGCTTGCTCCTTCTGGACTTCTCTGGAGGAAATGATCACCTGCAGAGGTCAGTTTGACAGGTACACACTCCCTTCAGAATTACTGTCATTCCCCCCCCCCTTCTGCTGCCTTTAGAAATGGTGTTGAAATGCATCTTTATAATTTGGCCTTTTGCACTGTCTCATGTTCGAAATGGAGGTAAAAAGCACATGGCAACTGCCAACCAGTAAGATAACAGGAAAGGTATCAGAATAGATCACTCTTTTCTGTTTCTATTATAATTCAGCTACAAATTATCTATAAAGAGAACACTGCCCTTTAATAGCACGAACCGAAGAAATTAGTGACAATTCCCTGAGGAGCCAGGAGTCCTACTATGCCTTGTGGAAGAGTTAGGCTGTTTAGCCTTAGGCAAACTACTATCTCATGATGCTTTACAGGTTCAGATGGAGCTTTAAAAGTTCCAATCGTGGGGGTTACCTAACTATTAATGTCTATTGCTGCAGACCTTGTCAGCTTATTGAGGAGCAGATGTACTAAACTCCATTTAGCTTTTTTGACTAAATATTCCAGAATTCCAGCTGACCTAGTTCCCAACATAATGCTCTACAGAGGTCTGCATGAAGATTCTCATAGTTCCCCCAAACTGCCTCGGGCCTGTTTTAACGGTAGCCTCAAACATGAAAGAGGATCAGATTTCTTATCGGTGCCATAGAGCCTTATGCAATATCACCAGCACTAGGCAACATATGGAAGATCAGATGCCCAGTTACGCCGATGGGTCCCTTGAAAAGGTTTGTTCCCCAGTTTCTCATTAAAGCTACAGCCCTATTGCCTCCCATGAACAGGAATGATGTTTGCGCAGGTACTCTACAACACCCATGTGGCTTAGCAACCTTGGGAATGGCACCTCCACACCGGGTAACAATACCTTGACCACACTTTGTGATGTCACTTTTTGTCAACTTTATAAAGTCTCCAGCAGAGACTTTAGGTAGAGTCATCATGTCCTCAACAGAGGAAAGCAGCTTGGCA